TGCCAGTGGTGACACCTGTAGAAACCAGTCTCCCACTGAGATGCCAGCCTCAACCAGTTGTTGAGCCTTCTCCACCTTGTCAACAAAAATGAGCACAGCCCCGTTCATGCAGCTGCGGACCTGATGGACCCATGTCCAACCACCTCCCCCACCGCTAAACAAACTTCCTCCACGCTGCACGGAGAACCAGCACCACCTTGATGACGTTTTTCCGCGTCAGCGTGGAGAAGCTCCCAGTGCTCTCCACCACCATGGCGTCTAGACGCCGGCCAGCCTGGTGCACCTGACGGCCACACCCTGTCAAACAAACTTTTTAAACTAATAAAACACCAAACCCCACAATTAAATAACTAACATAAGCATAAACACCAAGTGAAAAAAGTAGAAAAAGGACAGAAAAAACGAATGAATAGACACTCTCACTTTCTGCTCCTCTGCTCTTCCACTCACACTCCTCTCACACGAAGAAGAAGAAGAAACCTCGACTCTCTCTGGCAACACTGTTGGGAGTCATTTACGGAGAACTCTGGACATATTTTGTTGGATTGTTGCCTTTTGCCACATAGTGTTAAATTAACTTGACTTGCACTGGTGTGAGTTTATGTTCAAACAGTAAATATAACAATATATTCATTGCGCGTGTTTTTGTGTGATGTGGCGGTTTTTAACAGATTTTTGGGCTGGAAAACCTGGACTATCTGGCAACATTGACGTCAGCGCTTTTCCCGTCTACGTCGCGTTGATATTGAGCGGAAAATTTATTTATTTATTAAGCCAAGGGCGCTAAATCTAAAATAAATTGCAAATAAATTGTGTAAACCAATTATTGTTATAGTAAATGAGCATCACGCATGAGAGTTTCCATCAGGTTTGTCTTCAGTGCAACATATTCGTTACGTTTGCGTCGGACAACGATAAAGTAACGAGGTAAAGCCTTACTAGCACAACCGGTCGGGCTAGTAGACTATAACTTGAATATATATTTTGAACAGAATATTTTATTCTCGTGTTAAATTTTCCCGGTAAATGGATTTTGCTAGTTTTTGGGCTTAGTAAAAGGCACAAAGGGACGAGCTTTAGTTAGCTAAGTTGCACTCCAGTGCTAGGAACTGTGCTAACAGTGCTCGTTAGCGATGCTAGCACTGCATGAAAGCAGCTGAGCTGTAACCAGCAGCTTTCATGCTCATGGATTTGACCCTGTCGCGCTTTGCATAGCAGGATAATGGCACCCCGTGTCCAACTGGAAAAAGCAGCTTGGAGTTGGGTGGAGACTGTAAAACCAGAAGAAATCAGGCAGGAACATATCGAGTTAGCTTACCGCATCAAGCTCCCGGCCTGCAGCAGAGGAGCCTGCAGGTACAGTAAAAAGCAAAACCACACTGTGCTCAAACACATTCAATAAGTATGGACAGTTAATGTTAGTTACTTCTAACTAGTTCTTAGTTCTACTAAGCATGGAAATGTTGACAGAAAAGCCCACCTTTTCAATTTCCTCACTGACGGACAAGTCATGATATAAGTTGTTTGAATCGGTTCAGACCAATGTACCACCATGTAGACCTGTTCCATGTAGACCTGTTCCATGTATGTAGACCTGTTCCATGTAGTCTTGTTCCATGTATGTAGAAATGTTCCATGTAGACCTGTTCCATGTAGACCTGTTCCATGTAGTCCTGTTCCATGTATGTAGACCTGTTCCATGTAGAAATGTTCCATGTAGACATGTTCCAGCTACACATGTTCCATCTAGACATGTTCCATCTAGACATGTTCCATCTAGACATGTTCCATCTACACATGTTCCATCTACACATGTTCCCTGTAGACTTGTTCAATGTTGACATGTTCCATCTGGACCTGTTCCATGTAGACATGTTCCATGTTGACAAGTTCCATCTACACACATGTTCCATGTAGACACATTATATGTAGACCTGTTCCACGTAGACATGTTCCATTTAAACGCATGTTCCATGTAGACACATGTTCCA